AGGAACCTAGTAGCAATGGCCTCCAACCAAATTGCGATGGCCTCCAAACTAATAGCAAAAGGAACCCAATAGCAACGGCCTCCAACCTAATAGCGATGGCCTCCAACCTAAGAGCAACGCCAAGATGTGGACATGTGGTTTTGTCTTACAAGAGTGATTGGTTTGTCTCGCAATTAGTTGTCGGTCCAGTACAAGTAGCGCCTATATAGAGCCGAAACAGGCCAAGTCATATCCAATGCCAAAGCAAACCCTTTGGTGAGACCATAATTTGTATACTATCCTTCGCTTTCAAACTGATTCCAAAAAATTGGAATCGCTTTGGCTGAAACACGCCAACACTCGCGTCTCCTTGAAGCACCTTGCGCAACCCTACGCCTTGAAGCGATCTTCCTGTGCGACCATCCAAATTGTCTCCTGGCGCATCTCTTCCTTCGTCTCTCGGTGTGGCTCAGCGGCCGGAGGCCGAGGCTCATCCACCGCCTCACGCGCCGAAATCGTAAAACAAAGCCTGTCCAGGAAACAAAACATGAGCACCAGTACAATCATAACAAGTTAGCTACAACTGTTTCGCTTAACTCTGGTCTTTTTTCATATGTGTTATGTAGTGCTTCAAGTGCTCAGTTGGATCTCTCAAAGGCAGAGGCTACTCGGCTACTCATCTTTATCCCCAAAGTCACCAGTATTATGGCAGTGGTGAACTTCTTTTCACCAATATGTGTTTGGGTTACAAGTGTGTGGCAGGATTGAAATGTTTGCTCAAAATGCTCTCAGTGTACGCAAAGGGAACAAAAGTTCAATCCAATTGCCTGGATCTCTGCGCGGGGCTCAGGTGCGGGCTCCGGGCCTCGTGCTGTTGAACACTGCAGGGTTTCATGGGTAACAAATATTCAAATGAGCGCAACACAAATTCTTCTACTTGCTCCAACGACGCTGCAGGGCAACAATATAATATACGTACTCTACATTCAAGAAGACGTATGTTGGGATGCTGCAAGTGCCATAGATGACAAAGGTTTGACCATGGCTGAAAGCAGCAAATCGTTCGCCAAACCAAGAGGGTCGTTGAAAAGGGTCGACCGAGTGCCTCAGGTGGGGTGGAACTGCCACTATTGTTGGTATTGTCTCATCTTTTCTTTATTCGCTTTTGTACACGTTCCCACTATGGGTCAAGGGGCAAGAGTAGCGCGTTACATTTTGGATCACATGCCATTTTTCTTAATGTTTCCTGTGTGGCGCAAAAAGGTGGGCAAAGGGAATTTACAGGTGTACAGGGGCTTTGCACCACCACAGGGCAAAGAGCCCAATGAGACACTTCTGGCTCAGTAGCAGGACCAGGTTGGAGACACACGAAACGACTATAGTTTTAGATGTCCAGATTGTGTAGGCACCCTTGCTTGCTGTTCGATCAAGGCATTCTAGCATCGGCGTCATTGATGCGAACCAATGTGCCCAACCAAGTCGCTTAGAAAGGCATGTTTTTGTCTCGAGTGTCTCACTATGTGTCTCTCAAACCAATCCTCTCAAAACCCTGCACGGCACTGGCAGTGCGAAGACTTCTGAATTCACCACCCGTGAAGTCGTGAAGCCAAAGATAAACTGAGTCAGAACTGTGGCTAGCGGCTAAAGGCTGAAGGCCATCGCTACTATGGTGGAGGCCATCGCTAGTAGGTTGTAGGTTGGAGGCCATCGCTAGTAGGAAACGAATTCACCGAGCCTCAACCATACAATCCCTACCGAAGGAAGTCCGTAGCAATGTTCACGGCGATTGCAAACACTTCTCAAACTTGCAAACCTCTAGACTCTAAACCGTTTGTAAGACCAAGGTTTCATGGACTCTCACCGTCTGACCAGGCTAGCTGCCAAGTACTACTTGAGTGTTTGGGGCGAACCTTAACCTGGGTCCCTGGTACACTAACCACACATATCATATGCACACACAATCAAACGAAACTAGCTGAGCTTTCTGTGCTGCTGTCTGCTGCGCTGTGCTGGCACAAACTTGCTCTATTGAGATCTATTAGTCAATCCTGGGCAACAGTTCTTGCCACTAGGCTGACACTCGCGTTTATTTGACCCAAGGCGCCTGCAGCACGGTCATAAAAATCTCACTCCGGTCACCTTCTTGTTTCGGTGCCTGTGGCTACGTGCAGCAGTTATGGCACTTTGTCAGTGCTTTCGAACTGCTGTTCAGGTGGTGACACCCTTCAAGGTGAAACCTACCGCCGCTCACCGTGGTGAAGATCTTGTCCGGCATCTTCTTCTCTTCCACCACCGACTGTGGTGTCTTCGGTGCCGGCAGCGAGGGTGCCATCCTGCTCATGCGGAGGTCTCTTTCCGTCTCCTGGAGCTTCTTCTCGAGATCGTGCTCTCGTTTCGTCACCAGGTCGTAGGCCTTCTTCATACCATCAAGGCGCTCCTTCTCAGTCTGTAACTGGATCTCGGTGTTGTTGAGCTGATCGCGAAGGTCTTGTTCCTTCTCGTACTGTTGGCGCAGCATTGCTCGCTGCTGATCTCTGTCATTCCTGGCATCATCTCGCTCAGCTCGTAGGCTGTCCATGTTGTCCTTTGCATCTTGATATCGTCGATACCAGTCGTCTGCAGAGGTCTTATTGTTTTCGTTCAGCCGGTTGAGCTTCTCCACCAAATCTTCATAGCCATTGATCTTGGCTTGAAGCTTTTCCACATCTTCTGTCCCTGAATGCTCTGATTTCCTTTTGCGATTCTTGCTCATCTCGAAGTCAACCTCCATCATGTCATCATCTGATGACTCCTTCTTGACTGCCACTCGTGGGGCTGTCTTCTCGCGCTTCTTGAACATCCAGTTCATGACCAACTGGACTCCGACAGCGACCATCACCGTGTAGAGGATCAAAAAGTAGATGCTCCACATGTCGTCACTGATCTCGGACGAATTGCTTTCCTCGGGCTTCTGAGCTTGAGCCGCGCTGGCCATCATGAGAGCAAACATAGTCATCTTGTTCTTGCAAATCAGGCCAAGTAGGAAACTGGCAAATGAGGCTTCAGCTTGAGCACCAAACTTGTCATAGAGCTCTTTGTCTTCTTTGTGCAAATCATTCTCGCTGAAGTCTCTTGCCGTAGGAAGTACCCGCGCTACTATCGGGTGGTTTTCAACCCCATACATTTTGACCAAACCTGTGGACAAAAGAAAGTACATGCTGTCATGTTCGAGACTCTTCGTCAATGAATCTGCTAGCATACACTGCGTGGGGATCAAGACAATCATTCTGACTCTGCCGTCCAAACGAGCTTCTTTGATAGCTAGGATGTACAGTCTTTGAGTTTTGTCTTGTGGCAATGTTTTCGTCCCAGTCACCAGTTCAAAAACGTCACGAGCGTCACAGTACATGTCCATTGGCAAACAACTGTTCCCTTGCGACTGAATCTCGATCAGCTGCTGGAGGCTCGGTTTCTTCGCCGCACGCATGATCTCTGAGAGTCTGATCATACACAAAGTTGATGCCTCTAGTGCATTGACCATGGCAAGGGTCTCCCCGTGAGAAGTGCTGTAAGAAATCCTCTTGGATTTTGCACCATGCGAGTAAAGCACGTGCATGACACCGCCGTGCTTTGCATCATCCTCAGGAGAGTTGCAGGTGTGCTCGTAGTCTACCTTCTCATCATGCCATGCATCGTCTGTCAGGCATACGATCACTCCCTCTTGAGCGTAGGAGCGACCTTTGTTCGCTGCAGAGGCATCGTGGATGACTGCCAGCCTTTTGGCCTTGTGCTTGAAGTATCTGTAGTGGAGGCCCATGTCAGCATACTCTGTGACCTTCTTGAGAACCTCGTTGGCATTCTTGAGGTCTTGGACTTCTGCCTTTGTCACACGAGATTGCAGCAGGGAAACATCGGCAATCACATCTAACCTTGTTGCCGTGATCCACAGAAGTGCTCCAAGAATTGACCTGAGATCGGAAACCTCAGGTGGAGTCAAAGGAGAGTCATCTCCCCTGTCTGGAACTGGCGCTGGCTTCATGCGCTTTGCAAACTCCTTCTGGCCAATGAAGTATCCATCAGCTGTTTGACTGTACTCACAGCCACAATGATCGAAGGGAAGCTGCTGCCTTGTGACCTTCTTGAACTTGCCAACAAACTTGTCATATAGGTTGTTCATGAACTGCGGTGTTGCAGATATGGCAAGATCATCAACGTGTGTTGTCAACATAGCAACAGGCTCATTGTTTTCCTTCCACGTCCAGCAGTTCTCATCGAGGTGAGAGCATGTAGCGCCCTGTGCTGCGATGAAGTCACGTAGACAGAACTGCCATGCCAGTGGCGCATCATTGAGGCCATAGATTGGCTTGCAACAAAGCAAACCATACTGGGTGTAGTCATCATGTGGAACTGCAAAGCTAGGATCAAGCTCTTTGAGGCGCCGCCATACGTTTGCCGGTGGATAAACAATGACTGTTCTTTCTGGAGCATTCATTCCTCTCTTCATCAGGGTCTTGCGGATCTCGTCGAAGTTGAAGCCTTTTAAGAAAGCTCCTGCAATGTCCAGAGATTCCAAAGTTCTCTTCCGACAGCGGGCAGCATGAGATACTAGTATCCTCTGACTGAGACGTGTTGCCGTAGTTGATCTGGTTGTCAACTGTGTCTTCTGAGCATCTAGGCATCCACGAACACATAGTCGACTCTTGATGCGGATGCTCTTGTCAGGGTATCGTTTGTACTTGCGTACCCAGCGGCAATCAATCTCAACCATGTCATTGGTCACTTGGCTCTTGTGGATCTTCTTGAAGGCTTTCTCATCCACAAACTGCTTGACCTCATTGTGATCTGCTTCATTGAGCTCTTTCCAAATAGCTGGAGTGATGTCTTCATCTTCAATGTTGTTCGTCTCTTGGTCGACCTTGTAGATCTCGCCGGTGCGAAGATTGGCATAGGCGAAGTGATTCTGCTTGTACTCCAGATGGAAGAGTTCTGGAAGGTTTCTTCTTCTTTCGTCGTACTGCTTGACGAGGAACTTCCGTGTGGTGTTCATCATCAGGTTGTAGTCGGTCTTCCAGTTCTCAGGAAAGTCAAGCTGGACCAATCTGTCCTTGTTCGTGGCAATGAAGTAGTGCCTCAGGAACTCAAGATCTTTCTTCACAAGCATCAATTTCTGTCTCTTGCGTTCTGGAGCGAATGTGACTGTTCGACTGTCTGGACCATCACGCTTCTCACCATGATGTTCAACCTCCATGTCTTCTGAGTCTTCTTGTTCTTGAGGTGTTGAAGTCACCTGCATAGGCTGTGGTGATGATGTCGTAGTCTTTTGTGGTGAACGTTCCAAATCTTCTGAACTCTTTGGCGCATAGCGGTAGAGATACATGATGCAGATGTCTTCTCGTGCATAGTTGGTAATCTTCTTCATGATCATGTTGTTGTCACTGTTGTGTTCCTGAATGGCATAGTTGACT